GACAGAGAGAGCTTTTTTTATTAATTATACTTAAATAAAGCGATATTATGTTTATTTTATATAATATGTATGCAGCAAAAGAATGTAACTAGTGAAGTAAAAATAAACTTTTGAGATGTTGTACCCAGATTTTCCGCACAATGACAGTTTCATTCTGGAGTCTATAGAAGCAAACCTTCACTTTACAGAATACCAACAAAATTTCCGTTAAAAATGTCATTAATCTATTCTCCTACAATATAAACTTTTTGATTCTTTGGAGTATAGCGTTAAAGTCTCTTTGTGAATAACATAATTAATGGGCAAATTACGCAGTTTTGTATCTCGAAAGCCGACGGTACTTAATAATATCTAATTACGCAAAATCAATTGATACTGAGAAAGCTGAAAGATTAACTTTACGTTGACAGCATTTTCTGATTTCTTTTTGCCAAACACGAAATTTTATTAGCGTTGTGATTAGAACAAAGAGCTTTAGATACTTTAAGAGCTTATTGAATAAGAAAACATGGAAAATGAGAAAGAAGGGTCTAAGTATGTACTCATTGATACTTTGGTGTTCGTGGTCGTCCATCTTGTTATATAACAGGTATTGATAAAATTGTTACCAATACGATCATTACACCTAAGTATGTTATAACTCCAAATAGGTTTGTTTGATAGAAATAGGGCGTTCTACAAAAAAGACGAAAATGTGTGAACAACTACTTAAGTAAGTAGGATACATTTTGTACAATTGGACACGGCTATTATGATCTCGGTATCATAATTGGTTTGACATTATGGGTTACCTACAAAGAGAAGAGATGGTGCTGCATTGGAGTCTAAAAAATACTAGTAGGAATTCGACACAGCCATCAAAACACAGAAAGACGTTAGAAGGGTGATCAAAGACCGTTTGTACGGGAACCGTTGTCGCAGGCTCGCCCCTACTACAGTTCCCCCTAATAGATAAAAGACAATCAAACGACGCGACATCAAACTATTGAACCAATCAGCACTCACACCCGAGAGCAACGATGCAATCAGAACCAATTTTTGGTCAAGTTATGAGCATTTGTTCACACATAAGTATGGCGCGCCTGCCCCGCCCGTAAGATCCTTCTAACCTCTTTTTCTGTTCTATGACCATTAAGGTAGCGTAATTGGTTAGTGCGTCCGTCCGGATAGCGGAAGATGCGGGTTAGGATCCTGCCTGGAACTTGGACCGGGTTTTTTTTCTAGTAAATTTTATTAAGATCTTATTCATGCCGGTTTTAAGTGTTAGTAGTGGGATTCAATTATGAAGTGAAGACAGCTGAGGCGACAGAAAAGTGTGCACTACCAACATCAAATTTTCCCCTTACCAGCTTTGGCTGCACCCAATCCCATATTTCGTATAGCCCATCCCGTATTTCACATATTTTGTATCTTGTAGGGAATGTCTTTCTGTATGATCATAATAAAAAAAATGTGTGCCACACATCTAAATAGAAAATTCTTTTCTTAAATAATCTAACATTAGGCGGTGCATAAGGTATAGGGTGTACACACACACACATATATATATATATATATTGTGACCCTCGTGATGCATTACCGTTTCATCTTTTCCATAGGATTTTTCCATTTACACCCCGTCCGAAAAAAGTTTCACTTCAAAAAGAACCGCGGAATTTAAGAACCAATAGGAACAGGAGACCACCTAAATGTAGTGTAATTTCATTGCGATCTCTGATACCTCTTCTCAAATTTGAGCCGCACAACCCGCTTTGCTATACCTCAAGAGTCAAAAAGTAAAAAGCGGTCGTATATACGCCGTCGCACATGGTTTCGTCTAATCTCAACGGTTGTAATAAATTCTCACTAAAGGAGATACCGTAATCTATACACGTAGCAAACTTAAACTTTACTTTCGTTTGAGATATTGAATTTCATCCCCATGTACTGAAGGTATTAGTGGTCACGCCCGCTCCGCTCCGGAAACATAGATAATAATTTATATTGTTTTAAACTTTCATGGTCACTAACATTATAGCTTGCGCTTGCAACAGTACCGAAATATCGGAGACTCATAAAAACAAGGTACATGTTAGTTACAATCCATATTCAATACAAAACGGTCCCAGACAACACAGTGATATAATTTACAGACTGTAGCGGGCTGATACTTGAACGATGTAGGAAAGTTGCTGTCTTATTGACAAACTAAATTAATTTACTTTATATACGAGTAACAGCTGACTACAGGGTCGTAACGGAACCCGATCGTCACGAAACGAACGAAAAAGAAACGTAAATAAGAAGACAATAGAATTTTTAATGCATTTGCTCGGAAAGTGTTCATTCATGTGTGCTGAAAAGTATTTTTTTTTATTTTTAAGCCTTGCGCGATGCCCTAGCGCCACGCAGCATTGTGTTCGTTTGTTTTTTTTTTCAATAAACAGTTTTCTATTTGTATGCCACTTCGAAATTTAAATAAATGTTTTGATAAGTTACCTCCTTGGTTCGTTTGCAGTAAAAGATAATTTCATTTTTAAATTGCACGACAGATACTGTGACAGATATGAGTTTCGTATGTAATTTTAATAAATGTGTTATATTTTTATTTTATTTCCTCGAAAAATACGTTGAAAAACGTGAGCGTAAATGGTTATAACGAATAAGTACCACCCACATAGAGGAAACTTGAACGAGTTACTTTCCGCACGTGTATCATAAATAACTATTACAATACAATACTATTTGTATCACCGTATGTGCATATCTTATACCGCTACTAGCGACCGCCCACGACTAAGTACGCGTTAACTTTTTTAAAAATCACATACCAACCATATTTTTTCTTGCAAAAAGAAAAGTATCTCATGTCTGAGTTCACATAGTAAATTATATATATGCCAAGTTTCATCCAAATTCGTTCAGCCGTTCTTGCGTGATTGAGTAACAAACATACAAACTTTCACATTTATTATGTAGGACCTAGTCAAATGTGTTTGTTATTGTTGTTTAAAGGTATACAAAGAATCGATCTTTTCACCATTTTTATAGTTTTGTCATGTCTGTCTGTCCGTGCCCAGTTTTTCTTGAAGACTATTAGCACTAGAGAGCTGTAATTTTGTGGAGATATATATTTATATATTTCGATTACGCCGACAAAATGGTAGAATAAAAATATTTTTTTACGGTAGCTCCCCTACATGTAACCTGGGGATGATTTTTTTTCATGATCTACCCCATCGTGCGGGATAACGTTGAAAAGGTCCCATAAAATTGATTAAGGAGACTAATTATAATATAATCGATAATTATCGATTTAGGGATCCGTTTCCCAAATATTGAACTTGTGAAGTGCAAATTTTTGTTCGAGTAGCGACCCCCCCCCCCCCCCAAATTTCATGAAAATGGTGCTTTTCATGAACTTTTAAGGAAAACTATAACGGTTAAGATAGACTGTTAGTTTAAGAGTAATAGTCGTTCAACTTTGATTAAAGAAAGGACAATGGGCAAAACGCACCCAGCTCCGCCATCAATGTAATTAGTATGAATCGATAGATCTATGAAAAACTAGCCTTTTTTATTATGGCACCAAAAAAAAATAACCTGGGGGTCAAAAGATATACACCTGGGTATGTTCTTTATTAGGGGTTAAGGTTTCCGCACATAGTCCTTATAGACGACCTTTGTGTGTAAGTAATGGGGACCGGTTACACACGGGCATATTTAAATAGCTCCTTATAGAGAAGCTCGATGGCGCAGGTGGTTAGCGCGTTCGGTTGCGATCGTTGAAGTTAAGCAACTTCCGCAGTGGTCGGTCATTGGATGGGTGACCAAAAACATCTATCTCGAGTTCCTCCGTGCTTCGGAAGGCATCTGCAGTCGTTAGCACCCGCCAATCCGCACTGGGCCCGCGTGGTGGGTCATGGCCCAATCTCCCTATTTCATCCATAGGGAAGGCCTGTGCCCCAGCAGTGGAGACATTAATAGGCTGATGATGATGATATTTAAATAGCTAAAGAAATTCATTCAATATCAATAGTACTTTCGTTTTATAATATTAGCAATAATAAGTGAGTGAATCATATCTTACTGTACAACCAGATACAAAATACTAAACAACAAAGCCTACGGACTATCCTGCTTGCTTGCTGCTTGCACTTACTGAGACTCCTCAAAACGTCTAACAGGGTATGGTGGTTGAAGGATGTGATATTGCAGTTGCCGTTGCAACTAGTCTACTCGTATGCAGTCCTTTGTCTTACATTTTGTGCGCTCCCTGTTATTTCATTGATATTTAACTAACACGCTTTAGAAATAGGAACACGATTATCATCGCGTACGTCATTATAATCGTACGAGCTAATAAAAAATCTATGGATCAATTTAAATGCTCGTACTCAGCACACAAACATCTGCCCCCACCAGGATTCGAACCCTCGAGCCAGCGACACCATGAAACCCGGCGTACAAACCACTCGACTCGGATATATTAATTGACGACCTCCGTGGTCGTCGATTAATATATCCGTTCTATATACTCGTCCTTGTATCTTTAAATATTATGTTCGTTATAGTTACTTTTACCTATGGAATTGTACCTATTTAACTTAAAATAACTAAAGACTCCCGGGATGGAATTTGATGCGCTTTGGCACAAATGATCATGACTATGATACCTTTCAAACAAATGTAGTTTAAGCCGTGGCGGACGTGGGTGCAGTGTCCATGCAATTTTGCCCATTGTCCTTTCTTACCTATTGGAAATTCCTTAGAAGAAAACATTAATAGTAACATAGAGCGTCAAACCTTGCATTGCAATAAAATCTAAAAGAAAATAATTTTCAAACACCACAATAAAATATCATTACTTCCATAATGCTACCGCAAGTACCAACGGCAACAGCTTCTGAGTCAAAATATCGGCAGCTATACCGCATTTTCCCCTTCTCTGGGGATGATCGCTTCAGATGAAGCTTGTAAGGCCCTTCTTGTCATAATCATGAACTACGGGTGTGTTTTAGTCAGTAAGGGTCTGGCATAACCTTGCAGCCGACTGTAGGGTATCCATAAGGATTTACCCGTTCCCTCGCCTGAGAGGAAACAAAAAAAACATCTTCGGTTATCATTTGTATTTAAAAAAACAAAAATAATGAAATGACTTTGAATTTGAGACGCAGTTTGACTTTGATATAGGTATTTTAGTTCAATACATATATTGGTATGCATTGATTTTCCTAATTTCTGATATAGGAAATAATGGACTCCTGCTCAAATATATTGTGGTAACTACAGGCAACTACGGAACCTTGCACTGCGCGTGGCACGACACGCACTTGGTCGATTTTACTCTTATTTTAAGTGATTGATATATCTTGTGCGATTCCAGCACCCGCTTGGTGAGTTTGTGTTTTTATTTCACTCACAGACCAACATAAGAGACACGATGAGGACATTATCTAGCAATATTTTTTTATATCGACCTCACTCACCCGTAATCGTGACACAGACAGTTAATCCGTCCCGTTAAAACCTTTCTTATTTATCTGCGTATACTTATAGATACCAACCGTCCTACAACGAATTTCACCACTAACGCTCAGTTTCAATAATCAAACTTCACTAAGAGATTAGCCTATTAGAGCTTTCATGCCTAGATATTTTTATTATTCATCTATACCAATATTATAAAACTGAAAATTTCAAAGAACTCAAAGGAAACTATGAAAAACTGTTAAAAATTTGTAAAGTACTACCAATAAGAGACAAAAGGAAAGTTCGCAATTTTAACTGAATAGTATAAATAAATAAATATTTTCAACACTCAGACCAATTAGCCTAGCCCCAAAGTAAGCACTGTAAGGCTAGTGTTATGGGATACTAGGGTAACGAATAGAATACATATACTGTACATATATAAGTATATTTATATAGAAATACATATTAAGCATCCATGACTGGAGTACAAATGCTCATATTCATCACACAAACATCTGCCCCCACCGGGATTCGAACCCGGGACCTCTCGAGTCGGCGACACCATGAAATCCGGCGTACAAACCACTCGACCGCGGAGGTCGTCAATACATAGTTAATATGATAAACATGAGTTTAAAAAAGAAAGAATATACATACGCTACCCGGCAATCTAAGAAGCCGCGACTTGTTGTTCCTATATATAAAAACTATTATGGAAAACGAGCGAGGTGCTGGTCCACTCCCAGTTTGCTCAATAAACTGCCCTTTGATCTTCTTAAAAACTATTTTATTCAAAAATCATTTACGGAGTACCCTGCGCAAGCATTACTTATCGTTGTGTTCATAAGGAAAGCTTTAAGACGTAGGTTGGTTAAGTATTATATTAGCTATGTTATTTGTTAAATGAGTCGTTTCAAAGTAAAATTACAAAACCAAAAACGGTATAAATAACTAGACGTTTGTGTGTTAATAGATTACTGATAAAATCTGCAAGTTTTGGTGTAACTCATCATACCTGTATAAGTTATGTACCTAACTTATGTTTCCCTTGTTTCCCTTTAAAAGTTCTATAAAAAAGCCCGCGACAGCATTATGTCCGTCTTTTAAGTTTGACTCACTATAAATATTTTCCTCAAATTAATGCAAGTGAAACCGCAGGGGGACCTCTAGTACGAGTATATTGTTATTACAACTGTTGCTACGGAACGGAACCAGATTATTCTTACCTTTCACTGAAGGTTGATAATTGAAACTGGCTGTTAACTTATGACAAAACTTATCACGCGTCGACCTATTAATTAGGTAAATTGGATTGACTCGTAACCCACTATGAAGCCTTTGAGAGTGCAAAGTCAAGGTTAGTGCTTAACTCGCACCCAAAAACATTAGTGTTTTCGATTTAATCACTCTAGGTTCTTAATCTATTGTTTTGTTGGCGTTGCCCGTGGCTTCGTGCAAAGAGGTCAAACCTTCTGACATTGTATTTAGTCATATTTTTGGGTTTTTTAAGCATTTAATTCTAGATGTTTAAATCTAAAGAAAATATTACTAGAAAAAAATCCACGCGGATCAGGCAGCAGACGAAACTCGGCCGTCAGGGCCGCGGTAGCATAATGGTCAGTGCATTCGTCCGGATAGCGAAGGGTGCGGGTTCGGCGCTGCCTTGCAGCCTAAGGCTAGAGAAAATTTGACACGGCCGTCAGGGCCGCGGTAGCATAATGGTCATTGTATTTAGTCGTTTATACTTTTTTTTGTAAATTCTCTCTCCCGCCCGCTCGGTTAGTTGATCGAATTACATGTCTGGAGATCTAGTGCATAATGCATGGGTATCAACTTAATGTAAATTTAGAGATTTACAACACATTTTTATGTGAAAATTAAAATGGCTGTGTAATTGGCTAAGGTTTTTATTATATATACTTAGGATTCATGTTAATGGTCTTCAGTATGAAAATGGATCATAAATAACAAAATTGAAATTAAATTCTCTAATGTTGTGTGCTGAAGCTTCGAGTGACTACATGATTGCAGTATACCCACATGGTTATGGTGATCAAAAATCTTATCCTGACAATACTAACATACAAAATGTAATGTAGATTTGTTACTCAATCATACAAAAATGGCTAAACGGATTCGGATAAAGGGGCACCTATACTGTATATATCTGTATTAAGACAAGATACTTTATATTTCGAAAAAGTGTTACATGTTTGGGATTTAAACAAAACACAGAAGAATTTCTCGAATTTTAATATGAAATATTTGGAGTTCTGAAATCAAACAGAAAAAAAAATGGTTGCCTGTAAAGTCGGTTTTACGGGCGAAGATTTTACGTGACAACGTCTTTTTCTCGGTAGAATATTTATTGATATGAATATAATTAAATTGCACAATAGGAACAAGGAATTGAATGAAAATAAAAATTGCACAAATTTTAACTATAGAAATATATTTTGTTTACTAAAACATTGTACATGTAAACTTAAACTTAACACGAGAGACTCATCGTAACGTTACCGAGCGTTACACTTTTTCATAAGTGACTCCCAGCCGCAACCTAATTTAAGACGTTGTCACGTCAAAAGTCGCCCGCAAACAATAGTAAACTTGCAAAAACAAAAACATGTATTTCTCAACAGTTTGTGTAACAGACTTAATCAAGACAGACTTAAGTTGCTCAATCAGAGTAATACATATGAGGACAACTTTCACTTACACGTATCTGAAAGCATCAATTTCTATACATTGTTTTAAACTTTCATGGTCACTAACATCATAGTAATATAAGTTATTTACGGGATTGTTACCATGTACCTTGTTTTTAGCGAGTTTCCGATATTTCGACACTGTTGCAAGCGCCATGATCACGGAGTAAACAGTTACTAAATAACTTATATTACTATAACATCTATTTCTAGATACAATACCAAATAGCTAATCCTACTCATAAATGTAGCACAGTTAACAATGCTTCAAAGCAAATGCATTATTGCAGGTGCCGTGAATATTGGTTGGGGTGCATTGTCGGCTCTCCACATATCAACCGCGTTCGATTACACCCAACTCAATCTTGACTCCACCACAAAGGAATTCTCCGTAACCTTCGCTTCGGTCACGACGCGAAAGATTGTAAGGGAAATTCCATATTTACGAGCGCAACTTTTTAGCGGAATTCGCCTTTTTGTATTTTAAATACCCCCACCTGCTTGCTTGTGAAAATGTTTTTGAGTTAGAGTAGAAAGAAACATGGGCGCAGCTAGGCTAAGATGTAGAACAAAGTTGGCAAACAACTACCTTAAGAAAAATTTGCTACTGCGGGCGCTGAAATCCACATGCAATCTCACTTTCGATATTGTTAATAATTAAATTGGTCAATTTTCAAACATCTAAACAGCTTCAAACGTCATTTCGTTATTTTCAATACGCAATATCTTTATATATATAATTCTTCTGTGAGTGTGTATGTCAATGAACTTCTCTTAAACGACTGGACCGATTTTGATGAAATTTTTTGTGTGTGTTCAAGGGGATCTGAGAATGGTTTAGATTCACAATTTTGTCCGCTGGACAACCCCTATTTTTTTAGGGCGGTACGAAGTTCGCTGGGTCAGCTAGTTCTCTATATAATAACACAGTCCTCAGACTGTATGTAAATTTTTTACGTGCCTTTGCCATCTGATACCTTTAAATTGGCCCACAGCACAAGTTGGCGAGTATGTATACGTTCATTGTTCACAATAATACTACTCGATTATCAATATTTTGTCCATGAGAACATAAGTAAGGTTTGCGGTCTTGGGATCCTGTACTATAATGCATATATCATTCATATATTAAAACTAGAACTGTCGAACTTGGAAGTGAGTTTTTATTTACAGATCTGCTTACTGTGTACTCTAAGTAAGAACCAATATCGAATTGGAATAGTTGTATTCGTTTTAGATCCGCTTCAAATGTCAAGTAGTTTTGTATGAAATTATTAACAGCGTAACTTAATTTTTTATTTATTTATTTTATTTATCTATTTGTTTATAATAGATAAATACCTTATAGTCAAACATATATACAGATAAAGGTAAAACATTAAATGTTAGTAAATAAAAATAATAACTATGTTAGTAGAAACAAAAATCTTCCACAGCTGGACAGTTCCAATTTTGGACATGAGTGATATATGCATTATAGTACATTATCGAGATCGATCGAATTCAAATAACTGAATTCAATATTGGTTCGTGCTAAGGGTACAGTTGTGTCTATATTTGGCGCCACGCATGTGCGTGACCACATTAAGACCCCAAAAGGTCAAGCTCGAACAATAAGCTTATTACCGTTAAATACTAGATCACGTTTAAACTATTTTTACTCGACGGAACTGACCGTCCCCCGGAAGTATGCGGTATAGTTCTTATGACGAGAGTTATAGCCGTCCACTTTGACGTACTTACTGACTATAGTGTTTTGCATATACTTAAAAGCTTACTTTTGATAAAGCAAAACGTATTCTGAATGATACAGGCAGGTGCCGTCCTTCTGAAGGGACATTAAACCTTTGGTCCCGGCTGCATTTGCAGTCGTTAGCATCCACCAATCCGCACTGGGCCCGTTTGGTAGGTGATGGCCCAAATATCTTTTTTCCATTCTTAAGGAAGGCCTGTGCCCAAGCAACGGGGACATTAATAGGCTGATGATGATGACAGGCAAATGGTTTCTTTACAGTTTCTCGCCATTGTTGAAATGGAACTTTATCGATTGTTGTCTAAAAATATTACACTGGAAACTTCTAACACTATAGCCTTAAAGCCTTTGATCCAACTATTTCTGTAAGCGGCACACCTGTCACGATTTTTCACAAACAATACAACCGAGAATGGGGCATGATCTAAAAGTAGCGGTGATCTGTGGGAGTGGGTTTTATACTGACATGTTTGTCTACTATTTTGTTTATTCTATTTATTTATTTGTATATTATAGGCAACTTAGGTACAGGGAAAAATACATAAAAACCGAACAATATGTTGCAAGATCTTTATAGTTCACGAAATCATGAAAATCCTAAATACTAATAATGTTATAAATGTGAACGTTTGTATGTTAGTTACACAATCATGCGAAAACTACTAAATGGATTTGGATGAAATTTGCTATGCAAATAGTATATGATCTGGACTGAGGCAGGATACTTTTTATCCAGGAAAAATTAGAGGTTCCTGTGGGATTCTGAAAAAACTAGTTTAAGGACGGCAGCTAGTTTAGGATACAGAGAAAAAAATACAACAAGTTTTAAAACAAGATATACGTCATATTAATTTTTATAGATATTTCAATAGCTCTTAATAAAGTTTCAGAAAGTTATCTGCCATATAACACCATCTAACAAATTTATATCTTTCCACTGCGAAACGAAAGGCATATTATTTTACACGAATACGATACTTTCTAAAATATACAAAACTAAACTTGATACGTATAATGAAACGTAATAACGCATTATCGAGTTTATGTTTTATAGAAAATAAGGTTTAAAATGGTTTACGAGAAGACGTGAGAGGTCGACGCCAATAAAAGTGCATGTACGAGCGTCACCGTATAGAGCCATTTCATACACCATGTGTACTCGTACGAGTACATATATGCCAACTAAAATGAAACAGCTGATATGAAAAATCATATTTTAAAGTAAATGTTTTAAAACACTGAAGTAAGATTGTTGCAAATGCTTTTTTTAAATGTTCTCCTATGATCAATATTTCAATTTTTCCCCCAAATCAAAATAGTCAAATATTATAAAGAAAAAGCGTTCTGTAAGAGAGATTTTACAATGTCTTTTTATCTGTTACAACTTTAATAGACCTGCTACAAGAGATTAAGTGCTACGAGCTAAGGATCAAGGAAAACTTTCGTAGCTGTGACTACATGCTACGGCGTTACGAATTTATCCTATTGCACGATTCCCAAGGCGCCCTACTCATCAAATCGTTTCGTTTTCACTTCTGTACCGAATCTGTACCGATTCTTTACCGAGATCCTTTTGCTTGACCAGCTCAGTATCGGTGCGGTATCGTTGCGTTTCGTTTGTCATTTGTTATAATAATGCCGTGACGTCGAACGGGTCGAATGGTTCGGTAGGGTATTCAATACAGAGAGATGTGTATGCTCTCAATAAACAATCTGTATCGAAACGACTCAGTCAGGTGAGGAGGCTCTCAAACTTGATTACATGCACTCGGTAAAGAATCTGTACAGATTCGGTACAAAAAAGAAAACAAAAGTATACCGCACCAATGTGGTGAGAAAGACGCCGATAGTGATGGGGGCATAATTTATTTAAACATAGTGAATTGATTAACTTTGATATTTTCTCTGTTTTTAGTAAACTACCCTTTCGAAAATAGGTGTACAATAGAGCGTCTTTAAAGGTCATGGCTGAGAAACTGCCCGTAACTTAGTTTGAGAGTATAAAAAAATATTTAATGACTTTTCAAAAGGAAAATGTTCCGTTTTACAAAAATAATACAAAATGAATGAATAACACAAAAGAACAATAAATGTATACAAAAAAATATATGTGTAAGTATATCGAAATAAACAATATTAATTCCAAACACCAACAAAAACTGTGACATATTTAGCATAATTTTTTATTATAACAAATCACTGAAGACCTAAAATAAAAGATTTTATTTTTCTGATCAGGCTTGAGATGAAGATGTTTGATAAATTAATAATTTATCAAACAGCTTTTGATTTTTGTCTTTTTGCCTTTGATTTTTGCAAATGAACAAAATAAAACTTCACGGATTTCCTTTCAGGCCGTCGAAAAAAAAAATAATTGTATTTATTTTTGCTTTAAACATACTTTTTGTGAAATGTTAATCAGATAAATATAATAAAATAATAAGGTTCTAAGAAAATGCGAAATTGATGGGCTGTAAATAATTGGCAACATCATTTATCAAATGCAACATAATTTTCATTATTGTGACATTATCACAAGTTCCTGAGCCTTTTTTCATAGAAATTATAAATATTCAGCCATTCAGCATTAAAATATTACTACAGTACAATAATTATCATAGGTCAGTGGCTCATACAAAATTTTACCATGTCCTTTCATCAATCACTGATAAATTATTAATAGTAAATCTGAAGGCGGTAGTGAGACCTTCAAAAGTGTGACGTCTTAGAAACGTATTAGGTAATATACGTCACTCAATATGTTTGAAGGACAAAAGATTTGTATTTAAACAATTTAAAATAAGCTAAAGTTGTCCTGAAAGGTGAACGTCAATCTCATCTATTATTAATACACTTGCGTAGTAAGTGAGTGAAATAATTCAATATGTTGGCTGATAAGTCACATTTTTTTATCAACGGCCATCATAGTCTAAAGGCGCTCGCAGAACAAATTTAACTGCAGAATGCAATATTGTCACCGATGAACAAAATTACTACGAAAAAAAAACAGAAAATTCGAAAATGGAATACACATTTTAAAATAGAATAACCTATCCCATACCTGCCTGACGAAGCTTCGTCTACCTATTTCTCTAAAATGGGCGTGCGTATTTTCGGCGCTAAAAGAGCACACGTTCATAGACATACTCGTAGTATCAAATGGACGGAGCCAGAAGTTCGACAGCCTGAATGACGGATGAAACTGTTTTCGATGCATCTTTGTAGAGTGTACCTATGAGTGAAAGAGCAGTGATTGACAATGTTGAGTATCGGTGTAAATTATGACCTACGAGTGTCCGAGTAATATGCTCACAACGTGTGGTATTTCCATAAATTGAAAAGAATTCATATAGTTAAGCGTGAAATCTATATAAAAGTATATGATAATGCCGTAGTCAGATGTGTTATGTACCCTTAGCACGAATCAATATCGAATTCGAATAGTTTGCGAGTGCAAATGTCATTGTCATTTGATTTAATCAACATTAAACAACATTATGTAAGATGCAACGGTGCACGGCAACAGTTTGATTTGCAATATAAGCATTTTGTTCGCAAAAATGTAGGTAGATGAAAGTTAGTTTAAAGTAATCTATGAATTCGTCATCATTATCAGCCTATTAATGCCCTCACTGCAAGGGCACAGGCCTTCCTTCTGGATGGTATAGGGAGATTGGGCCATGACTTACAATGCGGGCCCACTGCAGATTGGTAACAACTACGTATGTAAGCTGAACCAACAACTTAACGTGCCTTTCGAAATACGGAGGAGCAATGGATCATTAATTTTTGGTCACTTATCCCATAGGATAGAGGATTTGGTCATAACCAAATAGCGGCTTTGGTCTGCGATCGTGGAAGTTAAGGAACTTTCATTGTACCATCGCGATCCTTATATTCAAAAGACAATAAAATTTAATGTAAGTACAAAGATGTGTACATATTTGAAATAAATAATGAAAATAAGTATTTTACATTTCGTAATGTATTTGACGTAAATCTTTTATCTGGGTACTTACACATAACCACGAGTTGATGTCAAATTGAAAACTATTTTATTTTCATATCGATGACTCAAACCACAATATAATTTTTTGTCGCTTCTCTAGACACACCCATACATGCTCAGTGACAGCGATACACTAAGAAAAATGACCACACTTTTGATACATTATGTCTATTTGTACGCTCCTTCATCTGCAGGTAAGCTTAGACCTCCGACTTCGCTAAATAAACATGGCGAATAATTCCTATGCTTCTTATTTTTTTCTCATATTTGTTATTTTGGGATCTGTAGTAAAAGCTTTACTATAAAGTACCTGTACAAGCGTAGCGTCGGCACTGACGGTGTAGACGCCGCGGCAGTCGGGCGCCTCCTCCGGCTTGTCAGAGGCCGGCGATCGTCGCCAGCAAGCCGCACACACCGCTACTAATACGCCACACAGTGTCGCACTGCAATCAAGTTAATGCGAATTAGGCAACGAATTATAAATAATATTGAACACGAACTGTGCTAAAAAGTGGTTCCACGCAAACTGCGATCAAGTGGGCGGGACGAAATAATGGCGATGAAACGCCTATCATGGTATTGGTTGGGATTGCATTTGCTGATATTATTAGATTTGCACAATAGGGGTGATGACGGGGTACATTAACCGAAATTCTATTTAGTCCGTCAGTTAGATAATCAAAAAATAATGAACACGTATTTTTTCTTTGGGCAATCAACCAAAAAATGACAAAGTTATAGCCCGTCAAAGTTTGGAAGTAGGGGCTCGTGACGTCACTTTTTAGTGAATTTTCACTTAAAAGTGTACCAAAACGTGACGTCATGCAACTTTTCAAATCTGCAATGTTTATATTATATGAAAAAGAAAAAATACGTGTGCAATAAATACTTTTTGATAATCTATCTGATAAACTAAGAAAAAAATATCATCATCATCCCATCCGTCCGGTTTAGTCCGGATATGCCCGGTCTTTTAGACTATAATCCGGACTTTGTACGGATCTTTAAATTGTCCGGATTTTTTTAATACATTGAATTTAATAATAGAAGTAAATATTGATTTAAATACTATACCATTGTAACTAAGTGAGGAAAAAAAACGGACTTTTTTCGAAATCTCAGGACTTTTGAAATTCCAAATGGTAAACCTAGTCGCGTTGGTATTGAAGTTTAGTTGGTTACATGGTTTAGAAACCAAACTCATAGTTTGGAACCATGTAAGCGGCCTTTGTTAGAGAGTAATGCTTCTATTATCATTTTTCTAATTGGTTGGAATTAGATTAATTTTTAATACGCGAGGAAAGCGGTCTCATGCTTAAGAACAGCACCACGAGATTGTAGACGTCACAGACTTACTTTTAAATTTAGCCATAAAAAAAATATTGACAAGGGTATTAAATATTTTATTAATATTCTTTTTTTTCTACAATCTGGAATCCTACAAAAGAGGTGTAAAGAAGAATTTGTGCAGTCCGGCAAGATAAAGGTTGGTGTGGTAGTTCATGATGGATGCACCAGCTATCTTCGCGTCTGGACTTTACCACCATTTAACATCGGGTGAGGTACAGTCATTTGGCTTCCTAATTCTTTAAGTATATGTATTATGTGAAGAATAATAAGCCATGGCCTCATCTGTTGACTGGTAAATTTTTTTCAAGATTAAAAAATCTAACAGGCGAATGCTTAAAAATGATAATAAAAGTGTTTATTTTTTTAATGAAGGATACCAAAACCAGCCACATACAGCTCGTATAGCCAAAGGGATTTTATTATACACACTATAATGCAAAACGACTTTTTCCCCAACCTAGTATGTTGCGGACATATCGACGCATAACCTACTGAAGCGTGGTCCTGATAATTAAAAAAAAAACAATATCCTTTTTAAGAATATAAATAAATATTTCCAACACTCACACCAATTAGCCTAGCCCCAAAGTAAGCACTGTAAAGGCTTGTGTTATGGGATACTAGGGTAACGGATAGAATACATATATTGTACATATATATAAGTATATTTATTTGAAATACATATTAAACATCCATGACTGGAGTACAAATGCTCGTATTCATCATACAAACATCTGCCCGGGATTCGAACCCGGGACCTCTCGAGTCGGCCACGCCATGGAACCCGGCGTATAAACCACTCGGCCACGGAGGTCGTCAAATAAAACATTATGATAGATGATTAGATATTATAAAATATTAAACATTATGGTCAATGTAATAGGTATTTTAAATGTAATCAATTGAAATCAATATTATATTTTGTCTCGTTAATATTTCATAATTCATTGCACAGGGTCATTAAACACAAACACGAAAAACTGTTTTTGTAAAACAGATTTTTTGGTTTATTCATACCACATTCGATGTGATAGATTAATGCTCTCTCGCTCGCAGTAGTCTCGACTGGTCCGAGATATTGCGTCCGTTAGCGGTGTCTTTATGTGCGTTACTCGAACGCACTTTGTATGTAGATTATCTTCTGTATTATCTATTGTGTGATACTACTCCGAGTGAAATTGCAAATCGATTTAAACGGTAAGTCGTGATTAGAGAGGGGTGTGAGCAGTGCGATCAAATAATTAGCAATCGTTAACAGAGCTGCCTAACATAAATGCTGTACCTAATTCAATTCGATATTTGAAAGTAGCATCCAAGATTAGATTTACCATTAAAGCTAAATGCCGATTTTATATAAGAAGTAGTGTAAGTAAATCGACGATAACTCAAATTTGAATTTATTAACAGTATGTTTTGTAGTTAGGCATCAATAATAAAACTATGTAACGATTTGTTACATAGTTTTTACTGTATTGATTTTTTTAATGTAACTTTTTCTGTATAAAATATGAATATTCCAATTTATTAATATTATAGTACGCAAAAGAGTCATTCTCATTCTTATCAGACTACGGTAAAGACTAGAAAGAATTCACAATAATTTATTATACATTTCCAGTTAAAGTATCCCATAACACAAGCCTTACAGCGGTTACTTTGTGGCTAGGTTAATTGTCCGTCTGCTTGTAAGGATCATTTACCGCGGTAAATCGAGGAGATATCTTCTAAGTTAACGTAAAAAAAAGACAGGGCTGTTTGTCTGTCTGTCTGTCAAGACCATTTATTTTGAAACAGGTGACCATTTATTTTGTATCGAGTTGAAATTTAAACCGTATACTCAGATCCACGGATCCTTGATGCTGTGAAAAAATCTTACTAGACTTAGAAGTCTAATGCCAGCCATACACACTACGAGAAATCGTTACGATTAGACTGTACGGTACCGATAAATCGTAGCGTGTATGTTATAAAACTGCACAGTTTCCTATACGTACGCCACGTACGATAAACTGTTCCGTTCGAACTGTACAGTCTGATCGTAACGATTTCTCGTAGTGTGTATGGCTGGCATAAGTTGACGTGAAAAGAAGATACAGCCGTTTATGTTGCGTACCTAGAAATTTGTACGGAAACCTAGGTAACGTGTCCGGCTCGCACTTATCCGGTTTTTTTCCTAACTGCTCTTGCCAAAAAAATCCCTTTTCTATCCGAAGTGCAGTAATCTCACGCCACCCTCCATCCACCATCTCAGCTTACATGCAAATGGATCCTTTAAATACACACGCTGCGATTCTTATCTACGTTATGGCCATTTACGCAGCAATAAAAGTAATTTCAACGGAGACTTAGCTGTTTTCTGTCACGGCCGATGCAATAATTCCTAATTTAAAACTCTAGGGCGCACGTTAATGGAGTAAAATTCTAATCTCCCCATAATCTTCTAGAATCTTAAAATAACATTTTGAATAACAAATTACACAAAAATATTAATTTGTCTATTTGTAGAAATTACAAACGAGTAGACGAGTTTGTAAATACCAATACCGCACGAATATAATACAAAGTTTTTCAACACATTTGCGACAAAACAGTATAATTTTCAATAATAAAGCAAACTTTACCCTAAATGTATTTTATAATTGCTTTAAGTATAATATGAATTGATTTTAAAATTATATTCTTTTTTATTAACTTATTTAAATTTTCTATCTTTCTTAAATTGTTATCCTATTGTAATTTTATCAAATTTTAAATTAATATTTGTACACATTTATTATAATTTGCAATGCCCTTGCAGGGCTCATGTTTGCGAGCTGTTATTAAATTTAAGAACGAAATGTAACCAACATGAAGCAGTAAATATTATGACTATGAAATATTATGACTATGGCTTATTCTAAACAGAAAATGGCGCGCATTTCTAATCGGCGCTACGTGCTAGTGGTGAAAATTAGAACTACATATTTCGGCTCTTTTTCTATGTTTAGTATTAAAATGAGACAAACGTATAGATCAAAAGCGCTTCGAAATAAAAAAAACCGTAAAGGATACGCACGGTGCCATATACCGGAGCGTGCGTTATTTTTTTTACTGCACGCTCTGTTATATGGTGCGTGTATACAACCTCCATAAATGCACTTTTTTTATCAAATGTGTTTTGTTTTTCTAGTTATATTTTCTTTAGATTTAAACATCAAGCAGTTACATGCTTTGAAATAATAAAAATTATAACAAGTTTTTTTTTCTCGTTTGTCCCTAGTGGAAACGAAGCCAGTGGTGACGACTGGGAACAACCGATATTAAGAGCCCTTTCACATTTTTTGCAAAAAATCGTGGTTTTTGAGCGCTTCGGGGGTAAACCCTTTAGAAAAGATTTTGACTATTTGCAATAGAAGTAAACAGTAGATTTATTCTTTTTATTGTAAGTTAATGTAGAATATTTGCAAATACTATTTTCCTTTTTTATACTGATCGTTCTACCGCAGCTAGTTTACGGTAAAAACGATAATATGAACAACTTCAAACGCCTAAATGTCCAAATAATGTTCAATAAATTAGATCAAATTAATTACTACGACATCAGAAATATGTTTTTGTTGTAACATAATGTATTAGAATTTTGATTTTCTAGCTCATTAATTATCAAAAAAAACATCTAACCTCCGTGAGTTTTCCCAAAAAATAATGCAGGTTTACCTCATATTTTGATATTGAATTAAATAGAATTATTATCGAAAACCTTCATTAAACTAATCTACCATCATTGAACTACTGAAATATGTATATATTTTTATGATTAGTTCATTAATAATTATTTTATAAGACTCAAAATATCACCCGTAAAATGCAATATATACTAGTGCAAATCTACCTACGCGCCGATCAGTACGGCAGCGGCGCAATTTTGTAATAGGGCTCTTAAGTACAGATATAAACTTCGCCAAACTTGAAGAAAGCACCAAAAGGAAATGCTCGAAGTATTCAATTATAATATGCCGTAACTGTTAGGCGTACATGGTTCGATTTGACCGCCCAATCCAAACCCGTATACGAACCCTTTTCTCAAAAGACCGCCTCGGCTCGTTTATACCCCAAGTGACTCGGAATTGATATCACATGTCAAATTAGGGGACACTAGCGATCGCTAAAATTGAATCGCGCCAGAGATCTTACTCCAAGAGACACGAGTACTTATAAAAAAGTTATTTAATGACAGGCGCCGCCCGCAACTTCGTACGCGTAGAGTTAGTTAGAAATAAAGGTTCACTGCTCGTTCCCCTTATAGTAGGTGATAGCGTGATAATATGTAGCCTATATGTTGACTTAATAATATTCGGAAAAACTTGAAGTAAATCCATGTAGTACTTTTTGAGTTTATCCCGGACATAAATACAGACAAACAGGCAAAAATTCTAAAAACTATACTTTTGGCTTTGGTATCGATTGTATATTACAACCCAAGTATTCTTATGTATCTACCTTTTTTTCATAAAGTCAATAGTTTTGGCGTACGAGCGCCGCAAAGTGAAATTAAAGTTGAATTAAAATTTCCAGGTAACCACTATATTTCTCACCAAATGACTGTACTATTATCGTTTAATCATGACATCATTATTTCCTTTAATCATTATTATTTTAAGAAAATCAGTTTTTAATGTTATGAAATGTTATCACATAGGTATTATAATACAACTGAAATCTTTGACTTTTAAAATTTCCTGCACTGCGATTATTTCGCGTTATAAATATTTTTTTCGTCTGCTCCATAACGTGTTATCACAACATACCTTATCTTTTAATAATTTTATAAGAAAATCAGTTTCTAATCTAATTAAATGTTAAACTTCTAATAATGCAGTGGAGTGTAATTACAACGTTCAAATAATGAAAAAAATACAATGAATAAAATTAAAGGAAAAGTTTGGGAATCCACTTAAATATAAATAGAGAAGAAACGTCATCACATGTTTTGGTTATACATACCCATGCATGTTGGGTTGGTAGCGACGGGAAAATATATGTGAAAGTGCCAGCTGTTAACGTTGTCACGTTAACTTATACCACAATCTATATACTTTCCTACAGACACGTATAGACAGAGAAGTCACGCTGGGATGACGAAAAAAAAATTAAAAAAAACTAAAAACTGGGTGCAATTATAATATCAAAATGACCACTGAAAAAATCCGGAAGTGTGTCGATATGAACAGATGAAAGGAAATAAAGTTTATTTGTTTTAATAACAAAAATTCCAAAGTTATCATTGCCTTTCAAATCTACAGGTTAATCTAGGCTTATTGTTGGAACGGCAACGCTCTGGCCTTCTTTTCCAAAGGTGCTCATGGATTCGAATCCCGTTTAAGCAATATTTTGTCTTAATCGTGGTTATTTTTTTAATTGTTACACATTATTCAGCTACCCCCATTACAGGCTTTTTTTAAAGGACGACCCACGCTACACCGTTCTGTGTTCGGACGTCGTCGGTGCCGGAATCGGGGGGCCTACCGCCTATTGGGATTGCTTTGCCTTCGGCGTTCAGAAATAACAAAATGAAATCAAAAGCTATAGCAATAGCCAAACCATAGGCGGTAGGCCCCCTGAGCGTCTCGGCCGTCGCACGCTGAACTATTATTACATACATTTTATATGGACACACTCACGCTACACCGAGCGCTAACAGAGTGAATTCGCCCGGACCCGACACGGACGACGCCCGGTCAGAACTGAAAACGGTGTAGCGTGGAACATCCCTAATTTTGGACTATGTAAATGCCATAAGTTGCCCGGAATTTATTACCAAGTATAGAGCGAAGTCTGACAATTAAAAGATACATTGGTGTCGATTCTAACATGATTCTCTAAACTTAAAACTAAATTTAACATCAGTCTGTCCTTTTCATCCTCTATAGAGAATGACTCATATATACATACACTGTTGTCAATTTTAAGTTTAGCTTTAGAGAATCATGCCAGAATCGACACCATTGTCATTATTACCTTTTAAAAAGCTTTTTGGGAATCAATCATTATGTAGGAAAATATGGAGTATGCTCTAGGTCTAGGTTACATATGGGGACTACGTTGCCGAGTTCTAACACTTGTAAATTGTTCTGCTAAACTTGTAAGCGTCTGCTAGAGATCGAACATAAATAGATATATCTATCTATACATTATAGGCGATATAAATCGGAAAATGCATGAATGTTAACTTCAACCAACTCGTCCTTGATGATGACTAACACTAACAACTAAGTACTGTAACCATTCTCAAAACACTTCAGTACGACTAAACTTAATTGTGCAGTCGGCGGCAAAGATTCTTAGAGTACATTTAATTTTAAGAAAGGCTGCGCGCACCTGCTCTCTCGTCTAAATTATTTAAGAAGGAGTCCCCTACCCTTTACCCGGTAATGTTATGTTTAATCTCGGCAATAAATCTGGAAGGAAACCCTGGAGAAAAATTTACTCATCTATAAAAGTGGTCGGGTGTGACCAAGACGTATTTGTGTCGCACCGACCATCATGCCTGTCTTGTTATCATCGTAAAAATGTTACGAGCCACTTCTGTGAAGGTATATTATGTACCTGCTCGTTGTGCTTTACCAATCTGTGCTAACTTTTTACGACAACGACCATTAGTCAGTGCTAGTCACGTGCAGTGTGCCAAGTACCCTAAGTACGAGCTTTACAATTACGAAAACTACGTTAGTTTTCGTGAACTCGCACTCGTACTAAGGGTACTGATTTTATTGTTTTCGTTTCAATACAAATAAACAGTGTTTTAATTCTATCATTAAATCATTTGCGTCTTCTTAAATTTTAAGTATATTTGGTTAGTTTTTACCAAAATGGACATAGAAACATAATTTACAATTACGAAAAATATGATAGTTTTCGTGAGCTCAAACTCGTACTAAGGGTACAGGTCTCCCGATTTTACAGGAGATCTCCTGTTTTTCTGAAATTTCTCCTGTTCTAACGTTTTTTCATCTACTGCTGCTTGCTATAACGCCTCCCGATTTAAAAAAATCGGGCCTGGCAACACTGGTCACGTGAACAAGCAGAGTTTCAGTTGCCATGTTAATTTCGTTTCGGAAACTAATTTTACTCAAGCGCTTCATCTTTTTAAACAACGGTTTTGACAAGCTACTAAAAGCGTTTGATTCATACATACAGAAACTATCTAAACTAATAAATACGTCACAAATTATGAATGTACCCACCTCACGAAAAGTATATTGACCGTGTAGTGTGTCACTTCGGCTGGCGATACCTGTGACTGTGTGTGATTGTAATAATTCCTCGAATGGGAAATGGCTGCTACGGCCGCTAGCCTCTGAGAGCTACCCATTGCCCAGCCAAGCGGGCTGCGCTGAGCCTCTACGCTGCCCACGCTCCCCACCAGCCACAAGCAGTGCCAGTGAGCCACAGCAGCACAGCGCGGCGCCGCCTTCGCGACTGCCGCCAGAAATCCCGCTTCTCCCTTTTTAAATAAGGAATCTTTTTTTACTTCTCTAAAACTCAAGGCTGTCCAGTCACTTTCCTTACAGCCAACTTATTATTGGCACTGTTTATGTTCATCTGCTTAAATTCCAATTGGTACATCGCCCCTGTATTTGCAGACGTTCATCTGAAACAATACAATTCTAACTATAAACACGCTCGTCTATTCTCGGTTGATTGTCAAATTATATATTCAGAAACTTCGCCGAGTTAAGCTTAATTGGATTCAGAAAGCATTCTGTTCCCAATAACGAATTGTACTTATTTCAGTTGTGGATGGTGCGTGATCTAACTGCGAAGAATTCCTTCACCGAACGCGGGGGTGTCGGAAAGAACAACGATAATTCTAATTAGTCGAACGAATTTTGTACTACAAAAAAAACTTCACGCAGCTTTTTCAGAGTACTTTAATTAAGTATAACTTTGGAAATAAGAGGTAATTTGATTGCGTTCTAATTGCTTGATCTGTAGTCGAAGATTACGTTGTGGATAATTTTCTTCGTTGCAATTAGTACCTAATCTAGTTGGCTATTTACTTGTAATGACAGAGTATTACAGCCACTATTGTCTTGTCAATCTCGTCCCAATACCACATAATTTGGGCCCAAGACAATATGAAATATAGCGTCCACGATTAATTGCAAACGTAAATTATGACGTGCCGCGGTCGCGGGACTTCGGACAGGAAATTATTAACGATGACATCTAAATGTAGCGAAATTATTAACAAAGTAACTTTGCATAATTAAAATTAATTTAATTCCCATTACTTAGTATTTCTTGCGTTAATATCCTAAAAGTAACTAAAGATTATAAAACGTTCTAAGAGTAAAATTAAATTTAACTGTTTCTACTCGTTTATTATGGTTCTAATCCAACTGTATTAGAGATTTTATAATAATACTTAGTAATAAATAAAGAATTATAAATGTGTATGGATTTGGTAAAATTTTGGCAAACAGATAGTTTATCTTAAATGAAGCACACGATTTTTTTTATAGCGGAGAATTGTAGGTTTCAGGGGTTTTATCAGAAAGACAAAGTACAAGACGTATGAACATGGTAACCCTTTCGGGAGTTTTTGCTCCCATCCTAGGTTACCCTCTCCATCTCCTACTCGTGAAATCTCAGACTCAGACTAGTTATTTGGCTTGGTAGTAGGTAATGACCATTGAATTTTTTTTAAGTTAAAGTTGGCAAACAAGCGGTTGACCTGCGAGGTGGCAAGCGCCTAACTGAATTGCTATGGCTATCGCTATCACTACGTCTTCATTTTGTTATTTCTGACCGCCGAAGGTTTTCAAATTGTTGTTACCAATACAAAAGAAAAAAAAGAGGGCGGCATTTAAAAGTCTTCGGCAGTCAGAAAAAACAAAATGACGTCGATAGCGATAGCCATAGTAATTCCGTTAGGCGATTGGCCCCTGGTGGTAAATGGCCACCAATGACTATAGACGCTTGCGATGCCAAAAATATCACTCGCATCGTTGCCTTCCCTGACCCAATCCCATAGAGCACCATGCCCAATCCCTTTCTTCGTGGAGACTGCAAAATTAACCAAGGTATGGGCCTTTCTTAAGAGCATCGTTAGTATTATCTCGTTGTAAGTAAGGACAAAATAAAACATAATAATTACTCTCGCGCTCAAGATAAAAGGGTTTCCCTGATCGATGTTCACAGCGCGAAATTAAGGGTGTTAGCACCCGTAAATAATTTCTGTTCGGGCTGTTTGTGATGTTCACACAACCTGTTAATAGGTTGTCTATTGTCAATCTTGCATAGTGTTCTTGAGGCATATGAAAAAAACCGTCTAGTTCAAATCGGACTCGCATAAGAAGTGTTCTGTACCATCGTACAAGTTTTTTTTTCATAGTCATAATATTTATTGCTTCATGTTGATTACATTTAGTTTTTAAATCTAATAACAGCTCGCAAACATGAGCAAGGGCATTGCAAATTATAATAAAAGTATACAAATATAAATTTAAAATTTTATAAAATTATAATAGAATAGCAATTTAAGATGATTTTATTAGAAAAATTAAATTAGTTAATAAAGAATATAATTTTAAAATTAATAATACTTTAATAAATTATAAAATACATTTAGTTTTAGGTCAAGAAATGTATGTCAATTAAAAACAAAAAATAAATAAACAAGTAATAATAACATTCAAAGTAATAATCCATTCAATATTCATTCACATAATATTTATTATAATTTAATTTATTATTTTAGGTTTAGGTCAACAAATTTACGTCAGAAAAATCAAATCAATTAGTTTAACATCATTATTTAATAATAAGTCGTACATGTAATCTTATCAAACAAAAAAAAACGGATAAGTGCGAGTCGGACTTGCCCACCGAGGATTCTGTACAAATTTTTAGGTAGGTACGCAACATAATGGCCGTTTCTTTTTATTAAGTTAACTAAAAAGTTTGTTTTTTCACAACTTTAAGGGACCGCAAACTTGAGTGTAGATATGGTGTAAATTTCAACTCGATACGCCTTCCTGAGATTAATGGACTTGACAGCCAGACGGACAACAAAGAACTTTCTTTTGAGGTACGTAACGCAAAAACGTAATTATTGCATTTTTTAAGCACTTTAATTATTAATGTAATATTTTGTTGTTAAAAAGCAACAGAATAACTCACTAAGGAAAATTTAAATGTATAAAAAAAGTTCATGTTATTAGACTCCTGTCCTCGTAGCATGAGCGCCACAATTTACATTATAACACGTTTTTTATCGCGTCTTACTGTCCAACTCCATACTAATTTGACAATTGAGCGTAATAAAATCGAGCTATATATCATTTCGCGGTGCTCGTGCTAGGGGGCCTGTACGTTGTAGCATGAGCACCACAATTTACATTATAACACGTTTTTTTATCGCATCATACTGTCCAACTCCATACTAATTTGACAATTGAGCGTAATAAAATCGAGCTATATATCATATCGCGATGCTCATGCTAGGATTGCTAGGGGGTCTGTACGTTGTAGCAGGAGCACCACAATTTACATTATATCAGGTTTTTTATCTCGTCTAACTATCAAACTCCAAAGTAATTTCGTGATAAAAACGCGTTATATATCTTATCGCGGTGCTCATGTTATGAGGGCATATACAAAACAGATATTTATATAAAACGGATAAGTAAGTACTAAGTAAAAAGGCTACGCTGCCGTCCTCAAAATAAAGTGCGGTTAAGTGACTTGTGGTCGATTTGTCAGCCCTAAATTGCATCTTATACAGTTTTTAATACTTTATCAAGTATTTGTATCTTTTATAGTTTAAGTCTCAAAATCCGTCATGTGCTGAATGGTTACAAAATAGCAATAATTTTAAGTATACGAGCCGTTTTTTGGCCATATCTCAAAAGTTGGTTGTGTCATTTAGCCGCATTTTAGCTTGAGGACGGCAGTACGGCACTCTTATGATACAGGTCCCTGAAAACGTCATTCCTTTTTTTAACCGACATAAACTTTAGCCCGTAACTCCTTTCTGTGAATTCATTAAGCAAACTAAATATAACTTTGTATTATCTACACCTTAGGGGCTAGTTTTTACGTGCAACGCGCGACTCCTCGTCGAGTCGAGATGATTATTTGCTAAATTGTTTAACCCGTAGTGGACTGGGAGCGTAAGAAATATAATATGTATAATTCATCAGCTGCTAATTTTATCTCGTGGTTATCTCCCAAAGGATAGTTAGTCATAGCACAATATTGCTATTACTATTGTTTCAGAGCTTATAAATAAATAATGGACTGATCTATGAATATGGGTTTTTGATCGTACTCCATGTATGTTGTCTGATATCAAATGTGTACTAATTTTTTGTTCTCGTTACGTACTTTGTGGCGCTGCTGTTCCAGTTTCCATATAAAATTTGACATTGACATTTCGCACTTGGTTCTTGCTAAGGTTACAGTTTGCTCTCTCCGAAAATTCATACTCAATAATTTTCCACTGCCGAGTGTTCCAAGCGGCGCAAATTTTCAGCTCTCAATGAGAACTATATATTTGTGCCGTTTGGTGTTGAGACTATGGGACAATGGGGTCCAAGCGCTCGTTCCTTCTTTAAGGAATTGTCTAAGAGACTCACCGAGGCGACCGGTGATCAAAAGGCTGGCAGCTACCTTGGTCAACGGAATTAGCCTTGCTATCCAACGTGGCAATGCTGCCAGCCCATTGGGCACCATTCCTGGCAGCGGCGCTGGGGGTGATATATTTTTTATTTTGTAAATTGTATAGTTATTTATTTCTGGTTTTTGAGTTTTTAGACATTAAGTAATTTTAAGCTTTTGTAATGTTAAATATTTCTATGTAAATATAAATATATATTACTGTATTAACAAAATGTTTGAGTATGAATTTTCGGAGAGACATTTATTCCGTTTTTATTAAATTGTATATCAACTACCTCTCCTTGCTTTTGTTCCATGTAACATATTTTACTTTAGATTATATATATTTTTTAAATTTTGTTGAAGTTATCTTTTAGTTACAATGTAGACAAAGCAATTTCATTCTTAGGCGATAAAAAAATTAAATGTTTTATTTCCATAAGTTGTCCACTGCAATTCTCCGAAATTCTCTATTTTTCGTGTTTTTTGAAAGGATCATTTTTGTGTGAATTGATTTATCCAGTTTTAGGAAAGCCATTGTAAACCCCATTGCTGCATTTACATTTGATTTTTTTTAATCATAATAATATATCATTTATGCCTCTCTAGAGGAGCTGGATGGCGCAGGTGGACAACGAGTTCGGCCTACGATCGTAGAAGTTAAGCAACTTCCGCAATGGTCTGTCAAAAACTTATTATCTCGAGATCCTCCGTGCTTCTAATAACGCACATATAATTTATAGCAGTAAATACTTTTTATCTATGAATAAAAATGAATGCATGCCCGAGTGCAATAAACTTCATCCCCACCCCTAAAGTAGGTAATGGTGTCGATTCTGGCATGATTCTCTTAACTTAAAACTAAATTTAACATCATTCTCTCCTTTTCATTCTGTATCAAGAATGATAAGGATACACTGTTGTCAAATCTAAGTTTTGGGTTTAGCTTTACCAATAGTATT